GCAGACATCTGGTTTCATGCCTAGAGATATTCGTGCTTTGATTGCTGATGCTGGTGCAAATTTGATTCCCAGAGGCAATGTTCCAATTGACACCGTTAAGTCAGAGGAATCGGATGGATCTCTCAGAGCTGATATGGAACCGGACAGTAAGTCCTCCGAAGTTGCACCTCAGGTACTGGGGAAAGAAAACTTGACTAAGGCATTGGAGCGCTCAAAGAAAAGGAATGCATCAGCCCTGGGTACTCCAAAGGTAATTCAGAGACAAGACTAACTTCGCTACAATATTATATCCTTGCTAAAGAGCTTTACCACTAAAATCAGCAAGCAGGGAATTAGTAATCTTATGTAACATTTATGATGTATATAAAAGGAATTTTCAAGTCATTTTTCCTATAGGTCCCTAATGTGAAATGGGAAGATGTTGGCGGTCTTGAGGATGTGAAGAAATCAATTCTGGATACTGTTCAGGTAGGTTCTCTTTGTACCTCTAACCCCTTTGTATGTTCATCTTTAGATACATATAACTCTAGAACACTTTTTATGTTTTATTAAATTCCAAATCTTTTTTTTTTTTTAATTTTAATTTTAACACGTCTTCCTTTAAAGGCAATGACACTGAATTTGAGAGGACCAGAGTTCTGGCAGAGAGAGAGAGAGAGAGAGAGCGATGTCCTTTTTACCTGTTGTCCATTAGCAAGATTCCAGTAATGGGCAGTTGGAAGGCTCTTTTATTGTACTCAGTTATTTTTTGCTGTATTTGTAGTTACCTCTTCTGCACAAGGACTTGTTTTCATCTGGTTTACGGAAGCGTTCCGGTGTTCTGTTATACGGGCCACCTGGAACTGGGAAAGTAAGTTACTGTCAAACAGTTTCGAGGACTTCTCAGTTTTCCCTCTCACTTACCTTATGGGTTTTGACCGCCTTTGTTTTGCTTACTTCAAACCTCAGACTTTGTTGGCAAAAGCTGTTGCAACTGAGTGTTCCCTGAACTTTCTCAGCGTAAAAGGACCTGAACTAATCAATATGTACATAGGAGAGTCAGAAAAAAATGTCAGAGACATTTTCCAGAAGGTAAAACATTCCACTACGATCAGTATCCCCTCAGTGGAAGAAGCTTATGGTATTGGTTATATACTTCAATTTCAGAACATCCAATTTAACTCACAATAAGTGAAATTGCACATACTTTGCAGGCCAGATCAGCACGCCCATGTGTTATATTTTTTGATGAACTTGATTCTCTTGCTCCAGCACGGGGTGCCTCTGGGGATTCTGGGGGTGTTATGGACAGAGTGGTTTCTCAGGTGAAGTCTCCCTTTTTTTTTTATGCCTTCCACAGAATATTTTCTTTAGCTCCATGATGTTTTCTTAATGAGATAAGTTTTCTGTTTTGCTAGATGCTGGCAGAGATTGACGGCCTAAACGATTCAACACAGGTCATTTGTTCTATCTAATATACCTGCCTTTTCATTTTGATACTATTGTCCTGATAAAGAAACTAAACTCATGTTTCTTTTTGTTTATTTTAGGACTTGTTTATAATTGGAGCAAGTAACAGACCAGATTTAATTGACCCAGCTCTTCTACGGCCTGGACGATTTGATAAGCTGCTTTATGTTGGAGTTAACTCTGATGCATCTTACAGAGAGAGGTTAGTATTCTCATAATTTCAATTTCATTCTTTTATAATCCATACTTAATGAGTAAATAAATTATCTCTTCCAAAAATAAAGAAACAGATCATGCATATGTCATTAGTGTGATGATGCTTTTTTTTCACTTTGTTTGCATTTCATCTCTTCTAGGATCCTCAAAGCACTTACCCGAAAGTTTAAACTACATGAAGATGTACCACTTTACTCAATAGCAAAGAGATGTCCCCCGAACTTCACTGGTGCAGACATTTATGCCTTGTGTGCAGATGCTTGGTTTAATGCAGCAAAGCGCAAGGTGAGTCACCCAAAAACTGGATGTTTGGTTCTGATAGACTAAAACTATTAGTACATGTTATCTGTTATTTGGGGTGTTAAATGATAGTTACGAGCAGAAGTGCATTGATTTGGGGTCGTAATAGTAGTTGACTGTATAGTCTGATTATCACTGCATATTACATGTTTTATTTCTGTTAAAGTTGGGAGTATCCAACCCAAAGACAATTAACAAACTGAGTTTATGCTGAGATAGAAAGCATAGAGAACCAGATTAGGACTTTGTATGCTCAACAATATCCTGGACTTTTCTTATTGACACTTGATTATTCACAAGGTAGAAATTTTGATCATAATACTTAGGTAGATAAGGAATGCTCCTGTGCATTGACTGACGATTGGTTTCGTGTAGGCTTTGAGTTCAGGTTCAGATGCTTCTTGCATGGATGACCAATCCAACTCGGTTATTGTTGAATATGATGATTTTGTCAAGGTATGGCAATAGTTTTCTCCATTACGTTTGAGGGAAATTATGAATAGTTGTGTGTTTTACAATACAAAGCGTTGCCCTAAATCCTGTTTCCAGATTATGGCCTGACTGCCTTGTCCTAACGTGTTAGGTGTTAGGGGAGCTTTCTCCCTCCCTCTCCATGGCCGAGCTTAGGAAGTACGAGTTGCTGCGAGATCAGTTTGAAGGAGCTCCCAAGTAAACCCCCCGCAGAGGGGAATTGAAATTTTGATCCACTTGTTGCATAATCAACTGTATATGATATCTGTATGTACTTGGAGAGAAGAAGGAAAATAAAATATAAAATAAGACAGAAAATAAAGAAAGAGTGAGTATTACTATTCCCATTGCATAATTCTTAAGATATATCATCCCAATAAATAAATAATATGTTGTTGCAATCTGATCTGAGTGACATTGGATAGTGAAATTTTAATGGTACAAATCCAATCCAAGCATATTCTTTCATAATTAGCAACGAGTATATTCCAACAAAAACCTTTCCTCTCTTTCTCCTCCAACTATTATGCAGAGAAGAAAGGCATCCTTCTCCTCCCAACCCAACCCTGTAGTGTAGGACCCAATTATAATTAATAATTATTGATTTGATTATCAGATTACTCAGCAAGGCACGTGCTGTCTGTGCTACAATTGTATTGGCTGCTGTTAATGATCTTATCTATTTTTTTCTGTTGCTTGACTTTATATGCCTTTAATTAATACTTGTTACTGATAATAATATCATCCATATGTTTACCTTAATAATTAATTCCAACAGGAACAGGAACAGGAACAGGATCATTGTTCATTAATCTGTTGTTCTGTTATATTGTTTCGTGTATGTTAACTGTTATATTGTTTGTTTGGACTTTGGACTTTGGACGAAGGAAGCACAGGAGTCACATATGATATGAATCATGAATCATGAATCATGAATCATGAATCATGGATGATATATGATCATAATATATGTATAATGTTTTTGTCTAAACTCAAGTTCGTTACAAACTTCAAAACGACATCTTGTCTGCACATGATTTGCATTGCATTGAATTATTGTTTTCCACGACAAGGTGAAAAAACACACACAGCACAAGCAGAGCCGCATAAACAAAGGGAGCTCAGGGACATTTTTGTCCCAGAAAATATGTAACCAGAACAAGGTCAACCAGCGCTTCTTCTCCTCCTCTTCACCAACCAAACACAAGCATGTATGTATTTACTTTTCTTTTTGTGGTGAAATGAAAACAGTAATTTTCTTTTTCTTTTTCTTTTTCTTTGTGGGGTGGGTGGTGTCACTGCCAATGTGGTGAAAGTGAAACACTTGGGTAAATAATCAATTTTGTAAAATAAAAGAGCATGTTGGATTCGCCAGCTGACAATTGGCTCCATGGAGAGTTTTCGCCCCCAAACGCTTTCCAAAAATCTTGAAACTCAACTTCCACGTGTGCAAATGACAAAGTTACCTCACAATAACGGCAATAAAAAAAACATAATGATAAACCAAATTTAACCAAACTATTGATTATACTTAGCAGTGTTTCTAAAGCCGAATTTACATTTTCTAATAAATGGGAGAGGGGTCTCATATCGAATTAATTAACCATTAATCGAGCTTATACGAAGCAATCAATTTATAATTTGTTATACTTAAGCAAATTGAAGAAATATAATGATTCTTTTAACACAATCGAATTTGTTATACCTAATTGTAATATTTTTTTTTTTTTCTATGATTCTAAGAGTTTAAATCTAAACACAACAATAGATTCCAAGTTCGAATTTGTCCTTCCCAGCCTCACAAAAAAGTAGAGAACAAAACATTCATAAATTTTATTAATTATATTCATTCACCTTATAATACGATCTTTAGAATACAATAAGTATATATGTCAAACATTTCATACAAGATAAGTATATACATGCCAAACATTTTATACAAGATTCTACTTAATAAATAGTCTAGATTTATAGTCAAACAATACAAATAAGATTCTACTTTATCAGTGGTCCAAATTTACGAGATGTTGCTGAATCAATTGTCTAAATTTACAAATCATACCTAATTTTCAAATAAATGGCCCGAATTTACAGTTTGCTAGCATATCATTATTATAGTTCATACAAGATAACACCTAATTAGTAACTCCACTTACAATTAAGATAACACTTTATTAGTTCAATTAAGATATACTTAATTAATGACACAAATTTTCAAACAATTGTCTAACTACTTAATGTCCAAAATTTACAGTATGTCAGCATGACTTGTCAAATGAAATGGTATATTTTTATTACATGCTCTTGAGTATAATATATATATATATTTTTTTTGATGGTTTAATTGTTTATATTGTGTTTATGTTAGAACAACTTAGAAGGCACCACCACACAATTTTACGTTCTTGCTTTTCTCAAGGGTCAAACAGGGTGAAGCGTGTCGCCACGCGCATCTGATTGCGTCTTACATTGGAAATCCTGGTGCTATCAGGACATAAAAAAACATGAAATAGAGGGCTGAAACTCTAATAAAGGAAAGTATGTTACCGGGAATGTAAACGGTGAATCTGACCTTTTTTTCTCCATCGTCTCTCCTCTCTGGTTAGATCCCGGTTCTTTCCTAATTCTATGTGGCCACCTATAATATATAAATAATTAACTATTTTGCTTCAAGAGAAAGAAAAAAAAAAACACCAGAAAAGAATAGAAAAATTGAAAAAAGACCGGCTGCTGTATACACCAAAAACCAGAGAGAGAGAGAGAGAGAGAGAGAGAGAGGGAGTTCTGCTGAATCAATTTCAACTCCTATAGAATTTGCACGCAGAAAGTGTCTCCAAAGAAATATCACGCACAAGATTGTTGTGGTCAAATTCGTGGTTTTCAGAAACCAATTAGTTTTTCTTTTATTCGTTTTAATTTGGAATAATTCGGTGGTTGTGAATTTGGGGTTAGGATATTGATTTTTGGGGTGTTTGTGTGATCGGGTCTGAATTTGATTGATTAGGAGAACTCTGTTGAATGGGTCGTAGAGAGTTTCGTGTTTTGATTAGAAATTGAAGGCTTTGAAAGGTTGGGGTTGTGTGGATGATTTCTGTGGGGACTAGGGATGCGAGGAAGGAGCTAGGGTTAGGGTTTGGTGGTGGGAGAGAGATGGAGGATACTGAGCTTGAAGAAGGCGAAGCTTGTTCTTCCCATATCAATGAATACGATCCCAACATCGACCCTGATGTTGCTCTCTCTTACATCGTAAGCATATAACATAATACGTGTAGATATGAATGTAGATGTGTGTGTATGTGTACTTTTTGTTGCATACAAGCTTGATCCTAACATGAATATTGGTTTTGAATTGCTTTGAATTTTTCGGGTTGACTTGTATTGATGTCTTAGATCCAAGCTTTGGAGTTTGATTGAATTTGAATTTTACTTTGATTATGTTAAAACTTTAAGGGCACTGAATGATATAAATACTTTTCTTAAATTATATTGTATAAATCTTTTATTTGAATTTCAGACGTGTAAGACTTCATAATTGTTTATAGGGAGCAGAAACTGTAGTTTAGGACTTCGTTACCTAGCTCATGCTTATTGTAATGTAATTGCGACATTAACATATCATAGTTGTCCACTTTGTAATAGAAGGTAGTATCCCTTTTTGGCTTATGGTAGGGCATGACAATGCTGTTTTGAGGGATTGGTTCATTCGAATAATTGTTTTCTATGCAGAACTCACTGATTATGGTAACAGTTTATTGTGGCATATAATGTGCCTTGAGTTCTATTCAGGTTTGGAGTCTTTTATGGTAACAGTTTATTGTGGCATATAATGTGCCTTGAGTTCTATTCAGGTTTGGAGTCTTTAGATCTATGTTGCCCTCCTGTCTAGTTATGAGTTATGTGCTGTTTCGAAATTTGAATGTTATAAATCAAGTTAGGTGGATTTATCTACGATAACTTCAAGTGCAATACATGATCTTTCGGAATTTGAAACTGGGTGTTGAGTTTCTGCGTAAGTATTGTAGGGTCATGAAGTGTAGTTGTTCTAGGGTATTAATAGTTGGTAGTTCTACAATGTAGTTTCTTAAATCTTAAAGATGCCTAAATATTTTCTAGCCCTTGTTATCACTTTTTGTCTCTTTATATGAGCTTGTCATTTTAATGACTCATACTGCTCTGTCTGGTAATAGGATGATAGGATTCAAGATGTTTTGGGACAGTTTCAGAAAGATTTTGAAGGTGGGGTTTCTGCAGAAAATTTGGGTAAGTCAATAGAAGGGAATCACACTTTCTCTTGTGCTTAAGAGATTCATTATTTTGAAGTTCCTCTTCTTTAAGTAATGAATTGGCGATCAATACATTGCAACAGGGGCAAAGTTTGGTGGGTATGGCTCATTTTTACCTTCCTATCAGCGGTCTCCGGTGTGGTCCCATTCGAGGACTCCACCAAAAGTTCACAACTACAGCTTACCCAAATCTCCTTACAACGTGAAACTTGAGGTATCAACTCTATCAGCATTTTTTTTTTCTGATTTATTTCTAGTCCTGTACAGAGGAACCAACGTCATTTATTGGTTTATTTGACAATTCTCAGTCATCTTTGATTATTTTACTGCACAGGGTGGTCAACGTAACAATGTAATTTGTTATACTACGCCTCAGTCAGTGGGACTTGGGCCTGCTTCAACGGGTTCCACTTCGCTTGTTGCACCAAAGGCGCCATCAGCGAACGATCCAGTCAAACAAGAAGGAAGCATGTCATTAGATCAAGCTGACCAGTACGCTTCCCGATATGAATCTGCAAACAAGAAAGCTGTTAGTTTATCTGACCAGAAAACACTGAAGGTGCGAATTAAAGTGGGATCGGATAACTTGTCGACACGAAAAAATGCTATCTACAGTGGGCTTGGCCTTGATGGCACACCCTCTTCCTCACTAGATGATAGCCCTTCTGATAGTGAAGGAATATCTCATGAGCCTCAGGATGCCCCATTTGAATCTCCCACCAGTATTCTTCAGGTGAATCATCTCCCTGTAACATTCAGATGTTTTCTGTATTTGAACTTAATGTGCTTAAACTGAAACATTTCTTTTCATCGTGCTCTGGAGTAGATTATGACATCCTTTCCGGTGGACGATGGTATGATGTCACCTCTTCCTGACGACCTAATTTACTTAACTGAAAAGGAAAAGCTCCTAAAAGAGGGTAGATCTGTGACTCTTCCAAGGGATGGCTGGGAAATGTCTGGCTCCCTAGCGAATGGAACTCATACCATGGAGGGTGGTGGGAAATTGTCGGGGCAGAGGAAAACAAAATCTGTTGAAAGAAATGATTTTTCAGCAGAATCAAAGAATGGGAACAATAAGGATGGAATTGGGCTTCTGTCAAAGAAGGAACATGATGTGGACGCGTTTGCTTGTGAGGAGCTTGTTTCTAAAACCTTGCAGCTCCCACTTCTCTCCAATTCATTTTCTACTGTCAATGACGTGATAAAGAGCAAAGAACTGGATAAGAAATATTTATTGAAGGATGGTCAAGTAGAAGATGAACCAATGGACCCAATGTCCAACCAAGAGGATGCCTGGGTTGAAAAGCGAAAATCCAGTTTGGCTGGAAAGGTTCAGGAAGATAGAAAAGTAAGTTCCAGCGATGATGTTTTGGTTCATCCAAAGAAAGAGGGCCCTTGTAGACGAGAGAAAACTTATGAATCAGTAAAAGGTGACTTAAATGTTTCTAAAGGGAGGAAAGCTTTAAATACTGAAGTCATTGACCATTCAAAGCAGAAGGTCAATCAGAGGGCTACGTCCCATGAGGTAGATGATACGAGACTACTTTCTGGGAAGGAGTATCCATTACCTGCGGAGAAAAAGAAATCGAAGGAAAGTCACAGGACCCTGGTTGCAGAGTTGCCAAAAGAAAGCTCGATGGTTGGTTCCTCTTCAGGGCCCAAAATGAAGAGCACTCATGTGAACAATTCTAATACTGATCCAGAAAACTTCAAACTATGTAAAGATCTTGATAAAATCAGGGATACAGACAGAGGTTTATTTGGGGACTTTGATGACGGGAACCAAATGGAATTATTTGAGTTTCCTTCTGAAGATAAGCTTAAGGACTCCGATACTGTTGCAAGAAGCACATCTGCAGTTAACAGTGGATCAAGGGAGAGACCAAGTGGCAAGAAAATCGATAAACCATTAACTTCAGCCTCATTTCCTACAACAGCTTCAAATATAGCCCCACGCTTTGGAAATGGACCAATTTTTGCTGCAGCTCCTGCACTCATAGAAGATAATTGGGTATGTTGTGACAAGTGTCAGAAATGGCGGCTTCTTCCACATGTTACAAACCCGGACAACCTCCCTGAAAAGTGGCTGTGTAGCATGCTTAATTGGCTGTAAGTTACTTTATAGTAGGCATTTTCTATCCTATAGCTATTTTCATTGCATTACAAGGTATATTGACAAAACCTGGAGTGGTATTTTGATATATGTCAGTTTAGAAATTGTTAGTGACTGTTTGTTCCAATCTCTCTCTCTCTCTCTCTCTCTCTCTAAAGTGGCTGTGTAGCATGCTTAATTGGCTGTAAGTTACTTTCTAGTAGGCATTTTCTATCCTATAGCTATTTTCATTGCATTACAAGGTATATTGACAAAACCTGGAGTGGTATTTTGATATATGTCAGTTTAGAAATTGTTAGTGACTCTCTCTCTCTCTCTGAAGCTTGATGTCTTGATTCAAATGTAGGCCTGGGATGAATCGGTGTAGTGTAAGCGAGGAGGAAACAACAGAAAAAACGAAAGCTCTAATTGCGCAGTGCCAAGTTCCTGCCCCTGAGAGCCAAAATAATGTGCCCAGAAATCCTGGTGGGTTTATGGAAGGAGAGGCATTGCCTAAGTCTCGGAACCCTGACCAAAACCTTGAAAGTTTTGGTTTGCATGCCATGCCTAGTGGTGGAAAGAAAAAAAATGGACCAAAAGAAATGTCAAATGCATCTAATAGAGATGGTTCCATTCAGTTGCCAAACTCCATGAAGAAAAACATACAGGCATCAGTGAAGAGTAGAAGCTTGAATGACGTGAACCAGTCTCCATTGCTAAGTGAACCAGATTTGCAGCAGCTAAGCAAATCCAGTGACATGGCAGTGGAGAAACGAAAGCATAAGTACAAAGAGAAGCGTAAAGTTTTAGAGCCCTCTACCAATGGAGGTACGTATATGAAGCAGTGATTTTTTGTGCTTGGAAGACTTCCTTAATTATGTTGAATGCTATTTACTTATTAATAAAGCATGTTAAAACGGAAACAGGTGATATCATGGATTTAAAGATCAAGAGCAGAAGAGACTCCGATCCAGATTCTTCTAGAGCTTCCAAGAAAATCAAGACTGAAGTTAAGCGTATTACTGATGAAGAATGGGCGTCAGACTACAGTGTGGCAGTAGGGGAGGTAGGTCCTAGCTCAAGTAGTGGTTTTCGGACTGCTGCAGCAGGGAAGGATCAAATTAAGAATAGGCCACAGGCAATTACAAAAGCAAAAGATGAAGTTTTAGATAATCGATCCTTAGATACGGGAAATTGTGATTCTAAAGGTAGATCAAAAAAGAGAAAAGTGAAGGAATTCCCTGATACTCAAATTCATATGGGTTCCATTCCCGCTACAGGGAGCTATGTCCAGGATCGTTCAGTCGTTGCAAAGGAGGAGTTTAGTGAGAATGACTACAGGAAGGAAAAGAAGGCAAGGGCATCTAGATCTGACGGGAAAGAGTCTAGTGCAAGCAAAGGAAGTGGTAGAACAGACAAAAAAAACAGCCATACAAAGAACCAACAACTTAGAAAAGATATAAGTAGTGGTCTAACTCACCGGAGTAGGAATGGTACGGATTCTTTGAAAAAAGATTTGGGATCTGTACAGGTTCCTATGGCTGCCACTTCAAGCTATTCCAAAGTTTCTGGTTCCCAGAAAACCAAATCCAGCTTTCAGGAAGTTAAAGGTTCACCCGTAGAATCTGTTTCATCATCACCTATGAGAATCTTGAATCCTGATAAGCTTACATCAGTACACAGGGACCTCGTGGGAAAGGATGAGGCGCAAGATGCTGGTCATTTTGCAATAGGTAGCCCAAGAAGATGCTCAGATGGTGAAGATGATGGTGGGAGTGATCGATCTGGGACAGCAAGGAGGGACAAATTTTCCACTGTGGCTAATCATGGGTCCCTTGATTCTTCTGTGCTTGATTTTCAGGACAGAGATTCTAATCACATATCTGGTGGTAAAGTTAGAGGACTGGTTGTCCCATCTCCTGATATCACAAATGGTCTTTCTGTTAATGGTGCTTTGGGTAATTCAGGCCAAGATACTCGGTTCCCTAGTAAACCATTAGCTTCAAATCAATTTGGTGGTGAAGACAGAGATAATGGCAACCGTTATCATGGTAATGGTTCTCGCCCAAGAAAGTCAGGGAAGGATTTCTCTTCTTCACGGTCGAAGGACAAGAATGGAGGAAGCTTTGAGTCTGATTTGGACATGGGTGAGGGCAAGAATTCTAATGTTTTCAATGAACTGCAAGATCATTCACTGTCCCATGGAATAAAACCAAGGGATGGTAAAAACATGTTGCAGGAGAAATTTGGGCTCAAGTCTGGTGAAACTGAGAACAAAAATGTCGGCAAGAAAGATTTTACTGGAAAACCCTCCAATGAGAGTAGTAAAAGGGAGAGTCAGTCAAATTTAGGGGGTAATGATGGCCCAGATGTTAGACTAGACGCTATTTGCAAAAAAGATGCAATTTCTACTCTCAAGCAGCATTCGCTGCAAGACTGTGATAGTGAAAGGCCTTCAAGGAGGATTCCTTCTGAAAAAACTGATCGAGTGGATACAGGCTCAATTAGGGGGAAGTCACTACCGTTGCCACCCTCTGGAGGAGCTCAAAATGAGATGACGACTCGTTGCCCCCGACCAGCTTCTGGTTCTCACAAAAGCAACGGAGCAGATAGTATACAAGTTGATGCCTCTGAAGGTAATAATGCTGTGAAGGTGCAAATACAGACCAGAAAGGCTGATAATCAGAATGGAACTCAGCATATCAGTTCAAGACATCTTACACAGAATGGGCACAGGGCCAGGGATCTTGATGCCCCTAGTCCAGTCAGAAGGGACTCCAGCAGCCAGGCTGTTACAAATGCTGTGAAAGAAGCTAAAGATTTAAAACACCTTGCTGATCGTCTCAAGGTTTTAACCTATCATATTTTCATGATTAGATGTTTATGTTCTCCTTTCTGTGATAATAATGTGTAACTCCAATTTTTGCAGAACTCTGGGTCATCTGAAAGTACGGGTCTTTACTTCCAGGCAGCTGTCAAATTTCTTCATGCAGCATCTCAGTTGGAATTGACTAACAGCGAGGGCGCCAAGCATAATGAGAGCATGCAAATGTATAGTAGCACTGGAAAACTATGGGAGTAAGTCAACATTTAAGCGTTATAAACACTGTTCTCGTGGCACATGCACTGATTTTGGGTCTTAGTGATTCATATCCGTTTGACGTGTACACCTTGCATGCAAGTCCCTGCCTACCCTTGATGGAGCCCTGCAAGTGTTAGATTAGGACCCATAAATAGACTTGCAAAATTTTAGATAGTAATTCTAATATTAGTTGTATTTTGAGGTTTTTACCCTCATGTAAGCCTTTATGGATTGGGTGGGAAGGGTTGACAGAGACTGTACTTTTGGGGTAGGGTTAGTTTTCAAGATGTAAGCAGTAATTTTTACGATCTTCTCATACTTAGTGAAGTGGTCTCATCTGTCTTTGTGTGTAGCTATATGCTTTTGGACCATAGTAGGTAAATCATTGTGCTTCATGATCGACTGTATATTTGGTCATTAGAATAGTTATTGGTATTTACTGTAGTAGAATGAATAGGAGCCATTTCTTGCGGATTTTATACTCTAATGGACTATGGAGCTTCCACGCCTCTTTTTATGCTTTTCCTTATTAATTTAAATTATCTTGTAGGTTTTGTGCTCATGAATACGAGAAAGCCAAGGATATGGCTGCTGCTGCTTTGGCCTACAAATGCATGGAGGTGGCTTATATGAAGGTGATATATTCCTCGCATGCCAGTGCAAGCAGAGATCGTCTTGAGTTGCAAAATGCTTTACAAATGGTTCCTCCTGGTAAATTGACAAGCGTCATAACTGAGCTATTTTTTTGGTGCTAAAGGATATCCAGGGCTCTTAATAACCTTGTTTGAGTTGCTTCTTATTTGATGTCCTTGTTGCTTTTCTATCAGGTGAATCTCCTTCTTCCTCTGCCTCTGATGTTGATAACTTAAACAACCCCTCAACGGTAGACAAGGTTGCCTTACCCAAGGGTGTTAGCTCTCCCCAAGTTGCTGGAAACCATGTTATTGCTGCCCGAAACCGTCCCAATTTTCTCAGGATGCTCAATTTTGTAAGTATATATAAATCTTCTATTGAAGCTTTAATTTGTTACTCTTATACTAATGCACAAATCTTTATCAAAATATTTCTTTACATCTTTAGCACGTATAACATGGTCAAAGAAGGTCATGAACAAGAGTTGACTACCAATTTATCTAAAAAAGGGTATTCTCCTTTCACATGTCTACCATAAGAGAAGTGTGGATATCGGCCACTGCATGCCTTTCTCTCTCTCTCTCTCTCTCTCTCTCTCTCTCTCTCTCTGAGTCTTGCATCCTATTGTCATACATTGCCACATGATTCAATCACTATACCTGTATATTGGACGGTGAATGAACAATACATGATCAAATATGATGAATTGCAGGCTCAGGACGTAAATTTTGCAATGGAAGCATCAAGAAAATCACGGAGTGCTTTTGCAGCTGCTAATACAAACGTGGGAGACGCTAAGCGTTCAGAAGGCATCTCTTCCATTAAAAGGGCTCTTGATTTCAACTTCCATGATGTGGAGGGATTACTACGTTTGGTGCGGCTCGCGATGGATGCCATTAGCCGTTGAAAGAGTCCAAGTGGTTGTGGGATGATTTCAACCCTTGGAAGGTCTGTGAATCTTTTGTCTCATGCCTTAAGGAAGGAGGAACAAGAGGCTGACCTTGATACTTATGCTGAACTGCTTGGAACTTCTGTCGGGGGACTGGTGGTTTCTGTTCCCGTTTGAAATACAGATAAACTCCTATTCGTTTTAGTTTATTTGGTCCTAAAATCTGCTTTCTAGCACAGACAGTGACCAAAGAGGTTATTCTGATCTCAATATTCAATATTCATTTTGAGGTGTTGTGAACAATCATTGATTAAGGCTCTGCTGAGAAGATTCTGAGCAACTTCTGAAGGTGGATATGCTTCATCAGGAATGTGATGGAGGACATAATAGTTGTATATAAGGAGAAGAACGTTGGTTCTAAAAACAATAGGGGGTTTATTTTAAGTTCCAAAACACAACTTTGGGGCTTCTTTTTTCTTCAGGCTGTTAATGTCTCTTGATAAGTTGTTATCGTGCATTATGTGGAGACAACCTGTGGATGGCAGCTTCCAGTATGTGCACAAGCTGTCTCACAGTTTACAGATTGCGACCACACCAACGCTATGAGAGAGAGTGGAAAAAGATGAAAATCGTAGGTATGCTGTTTCTTTAATAGATACCCTCTATTTTCCCCCTCAACTTTTATTTTATTTTTCTTTGTTTTCTTTTTAGTTACCAAAAATTCCTTTCGTAAAAAAAAATATATATTTGCATTTATTTTTGTCTGAATTGAATTTGGTTATACGTGCAGGTTGTCTTCATCACCCTTGTTGTAGTTAGGATAATTATCCTCTTTGCGTTAATAGAGATGAAACCAGAAGAATATGTTATTAGAAAATTATTATCACTGCGATGCATGAGCTCGCACTGCTGCACTTGCCCGAGTTTCTTTCCTCAAAGGTTTGTGTAGCTGTAATTGTTGCGAAAATTTGCTGCTTCATTCTATGTGCCTTCATCTCTAACGATTTCTCTGTGTTTTTACTTTCTCCTGCCAGTGGAGACTATGTATATATACAAATCATTGAATCAAGATTATTGAAGATTCGGCATGTGTTTCCGTCTGTAAAGAGAAGGGGATGATTGGATATTATTAGGTCATTCCTTCAGATCAAACAGGTAAGGTTATCACGGTTTGGCAATGTTTATTTATTCTCCGACTTCAGATCAATGTGTGTACTTGTAAGGTGTGAGTCTCTCAAATTAGAAGCATGTGTCTAGAAATTAATTGAAATTCCAGTTGCCGAGCATGAGAGGAGAGAGGGAGAAGATAGTAAATAAATAATAAGAAAAGCATCAATAAATCTATCATCCTGCAACTTGAAAATTAAACATTCTTTCTAAGAGCTAAATATTGTCTATGCACATGATCATCCTTGGTTGTAAATTGAATTTTAAGATATAATATTGGTTTATTTGCAAACTTCCTTCTTAATCTTGTGTAGAAAGAAATGATGGAGCGTTGTATATTCGTATAAATGGTCATATATAACCCTCCCACAGTTCTATATTGTTTTACCCTATACTTTTTAATTTTAGGAGATTAGTTGATAAGTTGCTAACCAAACAGGGTCTCTGCTTGCAGGCTGAGCAACCGGGATAGTTGCGGCTGCAGCAGCTCTCGCTAGTAGGCAACTGAGTTTGATGTGATTCTCGTTTTCAGTTTTGCCCGATGCGGGTGGGTAGTATAGTTTCCAAGTTTCCGTAAAAATTATGAAGATTGATTACCCATACTGATAACATTTATTATAGGTTAAGATTTAGACAATAAAATTTTGAATTATTTTTTCATGATTTCCCATAGCGATTGTAATTATCCGGGTTTCATTAATAAAGCTTTCGATTGTTTCAAGTGACGACATTCATGTCAAAAGCCAGAGATGCCTGTGTTACGTCAAGTTTCAAACTCAGCCTTCTGTCAAATATTCAAGTTTATCTTTATACTCGCTGCAAATTATATAATACAGACACACAAACACTAATAAATTAAGCCTGAACCAATTAGTAAATTTTCTTTTTGGTCGAAAATGGAATTCAACCAATTAGTAAGTTAAGATGGTATTAATCACTAGAAAATATTTGTCAATCATAGTATGACGTGTCTAGAGATTTTTCTTTTTGTGTTTTTGATAAATTATTTTTGCGTATGTGTCAAGCTTTGATTTGCAAGTATTAGGAATGCCTTTTTTTATGGAAGAGGGAAGCGGTGTCCTTAATCAATCATTTTGGACTACTCAACAATCTCGAAATGAAATCCACCACAAAAATGCAGAACTGAACTCCAAAATCCATCTCTGACGTTTTGATCAAAAAAAATAATATTGGAACTCCAAATGCCAAAATGCATTTCCAGTAGAATTTAATATGATCTGGTGTAATCCAGTATAATCCAACACCTAAATTTTTTTAATTAAATGATAATCCTTATTGCATGTTCTCTGTTAGAGAGATGATTTCGCATTTTAGAGTTTCGTTAATGAATTGTCGCATTTTTGTGGTTCACGAATGAATTTTCACATTTTGGGTTTTGCTAAGTAATATTCGCATTTTGGAGCTTCACATGAATTTTCTCATTTTGTGGTTTCGCTAATGAATTTTCACATTTCATGGTATCAAGAATGAATTTTGGTATTTTAGGGTTACGCTAATGAATTTGTCGCATTTTGGGGTTTCGTAAATGAAATTTCGCATTTTGAGGTTTCGTCAATGAATTTTCGCATTTTAGGATTTCATTAAATACTTTTCGTATTTTAGGGCTTCACATAAATTTACGCATTTTGGGATTGCGCTAATGAATTTTTGCATTTTTGGGTTTCATCAATGAATATTTGCATTTCAAGGTTTCCCAAATGAATTTCCACAATTTAGGATTTCGCTAATGAATTGTCGCACTCTAGGGTTTCGTTAATGAATTTTCACATTTTGGAGTTTCCCAAATGAATTTTTGCATTTTGGAGTTTTGCAAATGACTTTTGCATTTTGAGGTTGCAAAAACGAATTTTTGGTTTTTTGGGGTTTCATGAATAAATTTTCACATTTTTGGATTTCGCTAATGAGTTGTCGCATCTTGGGGTTTCGTTTGTGAAATTCCAAATTTTGGGGTTCTGCACATGAATTTTTCGCATTTGGGGCTTTTGCAAATGAATTTTTCCATTTTTGGTTTCTAAATGGTATTTGTCATTTTGGGGTTTCATTAATAAATTGTTTTGGATTTCACTAATGAATTTTCACATCTTTAGATTTCACTAAAACCCGAAAGGCGAAAAATTAATTTTTGAAACTCCAAAATGCAAAAATGTATTAACGAAACCTTAAAACGTGAAAATCATTTGTGAAACCGAAAATTCATTAACAAAACCCCAGAATGAGACAATTCATTTGTGATAACCCAGAATGCGAAAATTCATTAGCATAAACAGAACATTAGCCTATGAGACGTACTTTTGACACGTTTTGCTTTTGTTCTTACCCAGAACAATGTGACACACTAATCAATCACATTGTTTAAAGTCTGATAAAATTAAATTTTCTATTTGAAGCTTAAAATTCCCAAAAACAGATACACAGTGAGTCCAACAGCAATCAAACTTTGCAATCTATCTCAAGTTGAAAACTTTTCAAGATGTTTGTTGAATCTTTATCCAAAATAGTCGCCGGCAATCTCTAAACTCCAGTTGAACGACTCGGACAACTATCATGATATCATCCTTATAAAGAAGGGGCTGCTGCGTCTAGAAAAGCATAAAACGGAACAATATCGAGTAAGAGCGACAACAAATTTTATCAACATTCCCATATATGGATGGATATATGGGTGAATTGCACAAAACTGGCTTTTAATAGCGAAGAATTGCACAAAAAATTCTCCACTCCTTTTCAAAATCCTAGAATTTTCTAAAAGAGCTGCACATAATTTACAGCAGATCCCAACTCCAAAGAAACTACGATATTCTTCATGTTCCTGTACTTCAGGGCATCAATTGTACCTCCACCACCATATCCCAAGTAAAATGAAAACTCTTGACACTCGAATCATTCATGCAAGATACTTGAACATGTTAGGGTTTTCCTTGTCCCTCTCCAGGTAGTCACGAGTGATGAGATCTTCAATGCGCTTCTTAATTGCTTTGATGTCAGGCTGCACATATTTCAATCATAACCATGTTAGTAGAGAATTATTCGGAACAAGAAATAACACAAAAACTATTTATACGGATATGAGAGACTTCCATTTATTCTTTTGGCTAAACTAGCCATGACCTCTAACAAGGACTATTGACTGAAATCTTGTACTTCAAGTTAATTATTATTAAACCACATATGACACCTTTCTCCTGAATTTAAAAGCCGAATTTAATACCTTGAACATACGTCCCAACTGCTCAACACATTCCATGACTAATTGTTGATGACCCAATACTTTCCGACTCTTCATAATCCTCACAATCGCTGCATCAATAGCATATCGCCTGTCTTTGTCAACATCTTCAATTACCTTCTTCCTTTCATCCACTGGTGGGAGAGGAATCTAAGGATTTAAAATTTAAAAAGAAAAAAAAATTGTCAGAGTTATGAATCCTCAAATCCTAATCTAAAATTGAAATGAAAAAAGTATAGAGGGATCTCAGACCTTAATTCTTCTCATTCTGTCTGTGAACTTAGAGTTGAATTCAAAGCTGTCAGTTGGAGAGATAGTCTTCGTATTTGGCTCCTTAAGGAGGATCTTGTACTTGGCACATGACAGCGAATGAAGCAATCTAACCAAGTCGTCATGGGTAAGGTTCAACTGAGTCAATATCTCTGAATAGCTCAATTTATCAGCAGTATTGAAGAGGAGCAGGAGAGCAGCCTGTAAAAGAAGGCAAAGAAATGTATAGTCCCCGTACTAGAAAACGTCTTGGAAAGGAGACATTGTGCCAAGACTCAATAAGTGAACCAAAATACTGCCTACTAAGCTACCTGATACGTTGACACGACCAGTTCAATGTTTTTGGGTTCAAACTTGCCATTAACATTGCAAGTTCCCAATGAGTAAATCCATGTAAGTTTTCTGTGCTTCGTTTTTGTTTCATAGAATCCCTTGAAAACTTCAACACACTTCACCTGAAATGAATATATACAACAAATTCCTTAGCCAACATTTAAACTTTTCAAGCATAAGCTATATTTGCAGTGGAAATCTTAAACAAAATATGGAAGCAAATGTTACCATCTCTTCAGGAAGGTTCAGATCAAACGATTTATAACTTGGCCAGTAACCAGTTGTAAGCACAGTGACTGTCAAGTCCATCCCAGGATTTACATCAGGGTAATTGTGAAGATATTCCTCAAAGTTGGCCTGATTGTCCCGAGCTAATGTCAAATCTGTGACCTGCAAGAAAAATCCAACGCCAAATTTAATCTCCTACCACAAGAGTAACATACAGAAAGACACCCAGAGAAAAACAGGTCAACTCACCATTCCCTCCATTTTTGAGGTGAACTGTCCACCACATTGCTGCTTAAGCTTTGTCAGAATACTTTTTTCATGGTCCTCGTTGGCACTCCGATCAAAAAGTAGCCGACGGGCAAGTTTTTTTCTGTGAATAAAAAATAATATATTCATTTATGACTTGCAAATACATACACACACATATATGGGAGTGATAGACACTTGCCGGTAAAGCATTTAATAAGGTATCTACCATTTTCTAAGTCATTGGATGTAAATTCAATGGCTAATATGATTGTGGCACTTGCTTACATAACCTAAGACTCTACTATTTTGACATGTCAAGTGCCTTATTAAAACACTAACAGGCAAGTGTCTAACAAGAAATGAACTTGTCAGTGACACATGAAACTGAATCCCCGCCAAATTGAGAAACAATGTTCTACCTGTAGAATTCTGCAAAAAGATCTTTGTCACTGATATAAGCAAGTAGCTTAACTACCTGGAAAAATTCAATGACAACCGTAAGATTAATTGAAAAACCAACTGAATTCTGCAAGAATCCAAACATAACACCAGCAACAAATGAAAACCACAACAAGAAAAAACCCAAAAGAATAATACCTTCTCAAGTGTTTCTTCTATGGCCTCGTCACTCAACTTCTCACTCCCACCCTTCTTGAGGATATTATCACAGAATCCAGCAAGTAATTCAGCACTTGAACTCCCAGAAACAGCTTTATTGCAAAATACCTCAAAAGCCTCTTTCAGAGCCTATTATGCAAACAAATGAAGAGGGCCTTTTAGACAAAGTTATAAGATCAAATGTAAATGACCAGTAACTACAGCACCAACCTTGTGAAAGAGAGTGTGATTTAAAAAGCAATCGGTGACATATGCCATGTACTTGTCATGCAGCTCAATTATTTTTCTGACAAGGACCTGAAGACCACAAACTTAAGTCAATCATGGACTTCCAATCACTTCTAAAATTCTTAAATATAATAATTGAATAATTTACCTGTTCCTGTGTGCCAGCTCCACTTGAAGCCTGCAGAAGCATTGTTGATACCACTTAGCACCATAATAATAAAAGGCAGGATAAACAATTAACTCACGCATGAACCCATGCTAACAACATAATCACACACCATCACACATAATCAAGAACCGTTTAACAAAAAGAAGAAAAAAAAGAATATACTGACGGGCCAAAAATGACAAAAGTCCAATTAAACAATCATCTCCTTACTATGTCTCTTTTTTTCTCTTCTCTATGATGAAATTACTGTATCATTTAATCAAATATAATAGAGCATATAAAATTAAAAACTATATACATGAATCAGCTCCTATAGCCATATCGATTTGAAGTTAACAAACCTTTGAAACAAAACTCGAACATAAGTGATTAACTGTGCATGA